TTTGAAATAACAGATAAAGGCAGGCGATCGTTACCTTCATCTCGTTATCTCCGTACTGAGGGCCCAAAGCCGAGCAAGAGTATCTCACTGTCAATGCAGGGCAATGAAGAAAATGCGAGTGAATGAAGGTATTAGTAATCTTTGGACTGTTTTAAATGTGTGAAAATCCCCAGTCACCGAGACAGTTGACTACATCTGTGATTTTCTATCTGCCAGTCATCAAGAAATAGGACTGCCGACAAAAACACTCAAGGAACTATTACTTAGATGCACATTAAATGTGCAGTTCCTTTTTGACAACCAACTCTATAGACAAATAGACGGCGTTGCCATGGGCTCGCCTCTTGGACCTCTCTTAGCCGACGTCTTCATGGGCAAGCTGGAGAGATTTCAACTAAGCGATCAGATCAAAATGCTTAAACATTATGGTCGCTACGTTGATGACATCTTTGCGATTGCAACCACAGAAACCGACGTCGCCGCCCTCCTAAATGCTGCAAATCAGGCACATCCGTCGATAAAATTCACGTTGGAGATGGAGTCGGCTGGTTCGCTTCCATTCTTAGATGTCCTTCTAAACAGGAGATCTGACGGTAGCATCCGAAGGAGTGTCTATCGAAAGAAAACCTGGTCTGGACAATACACGAACTTCGCTAGTTTCGTACCTCTCCAACAAAAACGGAATCTAGTCAGGTGTTTGGCACAAAGAGCTAGAAAAATTTGTTCGACAGATAGTACCGAGGAGGAACTTAGAAAAATCCAGGACTTACTTCGCGAAAATGGGTATCCTGACAGGTTCATTGCAAAGAACCTTGCCGAACGATCTGCAAAATCCACCACACTAACCGCCGAAAAGAAAACGTTGTTCCTCAAAGTCCCCTTCCAAGGAGACGCTGCAGGTGAACTCCTAAGAAGACGCCTTGACCAAGCTGTCTCGGGAACCTTCCCAGCAGCAAGGGTTCGCATATCATTCTCCACTAACCCTATTCTACGCGGAGAAGGCAAGGATAGGCTGCCACCTCAGACAGCCTCAATGTGCATCTACTCATTCACTTGCTCCTGTGGAGCAGGTTATATTGGTTGTACGAGTCGGCGCCTTTCCAAAAGTATACGAGAGCACCTTCTCGCATGACTGGCAAAGGGTGAAACTAGGAGAATAGACAGCGCCATCCTTGCGCATGCAGTGGACTCAGGGCATCGTGTGGACCCCACCGAAGCATTTCGTGTGATTTACAAGGTCCCCTCGAGCTACCCTAAGCTACTGGGCCAGCGCCTGTTAGCAACAGCAGAAGCGGCCGCCATAAGGTTACGAAAACCGACCCTATGCGCCCAAAAGAACCTTGTTCAGGCTCCGCGCTTACCGTGGTCAAAGGTTGACTAACCACATACAACTTTCGGCGCCCTTCCGCTCTTGCCGAGCCTGTAATTTAAAACCTAACTTTTATCGATCTTTGTTTCACTCACTGTACCCCGCCCTATGTAATTGTATTGGCCTGATGAGAATTTACCGAAAGGAACGTTCACTCGCCACTCTCTCTTCTGAATATTAGTAATCTGCCTGCAGCAACGAAGCAGCGACAATAATAATAAAGCACGCTGGTTGCGTGGCAAAACATGATATACATTTTAGGCGGCCGGCTAATTTATGGGTACCTGGGACTCGAACCCGAGATAATTTATGTATAATTGAACAGACTTGCACGCATCCACCTCACCCTCTCTTCCAGCACCCACTGTGCTTCGATGAGTAGACAGAGTAAGTACGAACGGAAGTGAGCATGGTTGCAGTGTCTGGCGGTGTCGAACAGACATTGTACGCACGCCAAACACGACATTGACCCACGCGTGCCAGGTTTATTTTAAGGTGCGGTTCCGGATCTTATTTAAATGAGAATGCCGTATAGGTCACACTATAAATGAGCCATTGTTGCCTAACCCTCAGTACTGGATATGTCCGAATCACCTATTCAGTTACCAACTTTCCTTTCCACGCCCGACAGTGTGGTAGAATAGATTCAGGCTCGTCGGATTTACAATAGTGGGAGATGCGCTGCTTTGCCGTGAGAATTGATTCCTGCGAACCGTCATCAGCCCCTCATATTTTCAGGCTTTTCAGTGTCGGGCCAACTGAAAGTGAGACTGGCTGCAGTGACTGACAAAGTTAAAAAATCCCGTTTACGAGTAAAACACACGTCCTCGTACCCACTTCACCTGAACCGGGTTACTTTTAAGGAGGAGCCTCGGATCGCGTATGGAGAAGAGTTTCATAATGACAACGGCACACGCAAAGGCAAAGAAGCACGTAGCGAACCCCTCACTATCACATCACCCGTTCCATGACACAGGCGAAAGTGCGGGAAGACTTTCCCAACAGATCCAAGCACACTCCAGCACTCGAAATACAAACCACTGAGGCCCGTTATCTTCACGAAAAATCGACTTAGCATGCTTCGATATATGCCAATAATGCTTCTGAGACGCATGAACGTACTGTCATGGAAATGGGTGTCAGGACTTTCCGTCCTTTTTTGATTCTACTAGATGAGCCCGAGTAGGCAATCTGGTCTCAAACTACCTTACCTCGTGCTTTAGCTGGCGGAATGTCAGGGTCACGCGTACGTGCGTGTACACTGACAGTGACCGGCTCTCAGTAGCCGCCGCCTACAATCTCTAGACAAACTACTCCTTCAATTTAGCCGACGTCAATATACTCACCCAAGCATCAAGCAAGATGGGCTGTGAACTGGAAGTAGCCTGTAACTACGATAAATAATAGGCCAATATGTGTATCCATCTGCGTTCGCTGTGCTGTGTAAATGCAAGAAGACGAGGAACTCAGATGATTGATTGGTTCTATCGCCTCGTAGGTGTGTCCGCCCACTTTGTCGCTTTCATATGTCAGATGATGGACGCTTTTACCAGTTTTGATGTTCAGACAAATAAACTGATACATTTATTTTTCCCAGGTCAGGCAGTGACATTTGCCTGCCTGCAAAACATTTCTGAGAACCGCATCTACTCCTTTAGCCATCGATGATTCTTCTCTTGCTAAGGTTTAGCCATTTATGAATGTGGGTACATTTACGTTCCTATATGAACTGGTAGATTTTATGGGCTCGAATACAATTCACAGGCTCTCGAATAGTTCCTTAATACAGACAGAGGTTTTTAAACGGTTCAGAATTTCTACACCGTTTAGGCTACCGTGCCTCTCCAGCATTTGAACGCATTTGAACTTAAAGTGACCTGTGCCCTTTAGAAACTGATTTCCTATGATTTTGGGGGATATTAAACTTTGTTGGTGAAAAAATTCGCATCAACTGTTATGGAGGTCTTTCGGAAGAACCAGGCAAAGATCATAGACTCGCTTACACGAACACAACTTAGTAACTTTAAGGATAGATCCAGACTTCCAGCTTGCAACACGCATTGGAGAAACTAGCCATACTTCTAACCATCACGTAGCGACGTTGCTAAGCTGAAAGAACGGCTAACACTTGAGGCGCGGTATTCAGATGTCAGCTCAATCAAGAGGCGCCCTGCAATTTAAGAAGTCCTGCATAATTACTCACGTAAAAACCAGAAAAAGACGGCCACACAGGACTTGAGAAAACCGCACAGACACAGGCCGGCGCCAAACATCAGCCAAAAGCCGGGACAGTGAAATAAGAAAATCGATCAGTCCACGGTCAATTAGCTCGGCACGCCACTTGCATTTCTGATCGATTAGGACATTTAATGCTCGGCGAAGCGTCAGTGGTTCAATATATCTGTTCGGTGAGCCCTTCCCGTTTCCCCGGATCTCTTTGACAATCTGAAAAGTTGACAACGTGCGTATGTACCCTGAACACTTAGGAAACCTTGGTTTTGAGAGGGACCTTCAATGAACCTCCAACCTGGTTCCATAGGACTCAGTGCTCTCGTAATTGCGTTTACTTAGACGTGCTTTAGATGACTGTTTACTAACACCGATGCAGTTCTCGTATACTAAGTTTGGTATGCACCTTGTCTTTCATAGGTCTTCCATGTCAGCAAATGCACTGGAGCATTGTTCAGGGATGACTTGATCGTAAAAGGCGAAGATAGGTAGCATTTTTACCAGTGGGCGTTTAATGAAAACAGACCAGCCCTGCAGCGGATGAGTTCGTCCCCTCAATCCCTGGAGTACTAAACTCTCACACAGTGGACGGTACGCATTTCCATACCAAAGAGCAGTTAGTAATATGAAGCATGGAATTCTTTAAATAAGATGATACCAACAAAGACAGAGGAAACCGGAATAACCATTGCTGAGTTCTAATTTGAGCCCCAAGGCGCAATGGGACGAGGACGTTCCGTAACTTGATCGGTGAATGTTAATCCATTATAACATAATGCTGTGTTTAGTCGTTGCTTGCATTATCATCCGAGTACAATATGTCTTTCCACCTATCCAAACTGTCTTAAGGATCAGTCTAGTGTCACGTCGTTCAACTCACTCCTATACCTGTTGTCCAGATGCACAAAGCGGCAGAAACGTCTGCAAATGTGTATGTTTGGACAAAATAAATCACTTGGCTCGCTGCCCTGCAATTTTTGTCCACTAGCCTTTCGGAAGCCAGGTTCTTAGAAACATTTGCAGCTCTACAGAGGAGATTCAAAACCGAACATAACCGCTATCGACCGCGACAGAAATTGCCGATCTGCCATCATCCTATGGGTATCCAGTACCCCTTTTTGTTCTTTGCCGTCACATTCAAGATAAGCAATGGGTTATTTTTATTTTCATGAAGTTTACAAGCATGTGGTGCGTCATCCAAACCATTTTAAAGTAAACGATCCCAACCAGCCTTATCATTTTTTAAAGAAGGGTTTCACTGACATGGAAACACCCGTGTCTGGCGAGGTAGTCTGCAGTTAGCAGTCGTCTAGGCGAACAAACCGTGAAAATGCCTACTGGAAAGTGATTCACTGGAAGAGGAAACAATTGTTCATGAAAGGAGGGCAAGTGCAGAGGCCAGTTAACGCTCCCCTTCCAGTGGCTTGGAAAGGCTCGAAGTGCTTGCATTCTCTGCATATTCGTACATCAGAGGTCGGCTGCTGGCACCGAGAGAGTCAAGGTGGCCGGCGGATTCTAGCCAATGGCGGAGAGCCCGTTCGTTTTGGGGGTGCGTCATTCGGACGCCGAGGTAGGAGTCATCCTCCAGAGGACAGCTCCAGGTCTTGTGGAGGGTGTTGACTCGCGGTGTGGAGGCCGATATAACCCTTCCGGCCACTTCCGCTTCGCAGGCAGACGCACTCCGTGGAGGGTTGGTTGAACGGGAGGAGTTGGGCGGGAAATCTAAAGGAAAGTTGTTGATTACGTAAGCTCAAACGCCGGTCAAAGAGAGCGCATTAACTGATAAGATGCAGACCCGGTCTCAGGAATAGGTTACTTATTCACCCGAAGTTTCAAATTCATGACCACATCCATCACTAGAAGCAGACAGATGCAATTGACTCATGGGGAATGCGTTATTTGTGGGCTGTGAGTACACCGTCCGGTAAATACTGAGTTGTAGCCCACGCTCAAGCCACCGAGCACAGGTTTGACTTCAACTATCGACATTCGGCGTAGTAATTGCTTCGGTTCGCATCAACTACTTTGCCGTGTTGTTTCGCTCATCTGTTCCAGTTACCAGATTAGAGCTGATTTCCTTCAAAGCTATTGAAGGAGCTCGGAGGTGGGGTCTCAAGACCGGATTAACCAGATTCCGCCGTTTGGAAAAAAGAAGTGACAAAGCACAGTGCATGAAGAATCACGTACCTTGGTTTTTCCGTAGGATTTACGGATGTGAAATGCTCTATTCTGCAAGTATAAGAAAAGGCCCAACAGCCTTTGCCGAAGACCTCGCGATTTTATTAAGTTACAGTAGGTGACATGGTTCATGAAAAATCAACTAGAATTCCGAAATATGATCCCGGTTAGGATGGATTATTTAAGTGAGGTTGTAGTATTGATTGTCATTCGACAGAACAAAATATTTTAGCCCCGCCAGGATACCAGCCAAAAATGACTAATTATGTAACATACGTTTATCCACTAAAAGTTGATGCCCTTATTAGTTTAAAATATTTTATAAAAGCACGCATAGGAGTATTTTAATGCTCACGTCATAGTTAGTTACATCTTCGATATTTTTACTCGAGCAATTTTATTTTGCAATTCCAAATAAGTTCGTAATTATGAAATCTTGTAAGGCCGTAAAATGTCAATGCAAATAACATCGCATTTATGCGTTTCTTAATGCTCTTTTTAAAGCACGCAACATTGTCCATGCTCACGGTAGGGCTTATGAGTTTTGTATGCCATCTTATTAATGGCATAGAAGCATGCATTATTTTTTTTAATGGAAAGTGTACAGTCTGTATAATTTGGAAACCCCGAAGGCAAGTAAAACGATGAGTTGGGTTCAAAACCACCCGGAAAAGAACTTAAAGCTAGAAGGTAATAGTTCGTTAGTAAAAATATGAAAAGAACGTAATTTATAACAAAAGGAGTACAAAAGCAATATTTCGTACATGATCCCCCTAAAACATTTTTGGAAATTTAGGGGCATCGACATTCACTGGTGCAATCCATATTACTTAACTGACCACTTTTAACGCGTATACTTCTTGACGGTGGCCGGAAGGACACGCAGTCAAAAGCTACCATCATGTCGTACCCTAAATGTCTTGGGATTCTGTTGCATGATGGTAACAGATTGCATAGGGGGTTGTGCGGGGGGAGGCATAACTCTGATAGTAGTATTGACCGGAAACTGACTCATTCCCCTGAGCCTCGCATTTAGCCTACTTTACAAAGCTAATGTTGATGCTGGGCCAACCCTAATGTTGGCGCTTAAGGCTAGGGCCAGGGTTAAGTTTAAGGGTTAAAATCGGGGTTGGAATTAAGGTCAGGGTTAGTGCCAGGTTGAAGTGTTTAGGTTAGGATTGGCGTTAAAACCAGGCTTAGAGTTAGGGTTAGGGTCAGTATTTTGCTGTTACGCTTATGGGTTACAGGCGTCCTTCCTTCCCGTTTTGTCAGTCATGCCACATACGATACCATCGTCAGTGCATATTCTTGCCGCCAAGACGACACGAAACGTTGGTTAGCTCAGCTGGTAATCATCAAACAGTTTTAGTTGTAACAGGTTTCAACACCTGCAACACTCTCTCACGGAGCTAGCCAAGTCGCGAATGAATACTGTCGACAGCTTGATTTAGCAGGAATGCTGATTGTCTACAAACAGCCAGTGAATGGTCAAGCGCCCACTGAGATGATGTCCTCTAACCCATAAGAGGAGTAAAGATGTTGTTTCTTACGTGATGAACAAGACGACATAATCGGCATCCTCAAATTGCCACCCTGACATTTTCGAGTCTTCCTACTTCAAAATTCGAAATGTTGCCGTCTCTTCGGAGAACACAAGCCACCTTGGGAAATGTGTCGCTTTAGGGTAAGCAACGGGTTACGGCTGTCAGACACCGAAATAGAAGGACTTAGGGGATGAGCTTTCAACAAAATTAGTCCGCACCAACATGGTTATTTAAAATAGAGCCAGGCTCGAAAAATACGCATTTGTTGACTCAATGTATCCAAAATCACACCGAAGGCACTCAGTTAACGCCTCTTTAGGGAGCATAGACCCACCGCTAAATTACGGGTCCCTATTCGCGTTTCCTAACTTGAGCCCCGAAGCTTACCCTAACCCTAACCTTACTAGACCCCAACCTGGCCATAATCCTAATCCAAACCCTAACACTGACCCTAACTAACTCTCACCCACTGGAATTTAGGGCAAGGCCTCTCTCTAGAACGGGTTGTCTATATTCCCGTGCCTGACTGGGAGGGATTTTCAAGAGACGCCAGCGGCGTGCCATAAATGGACTTTTTTTTACTTGAATTAAACAGATAAATTATAAAATTCAGAACAGAACTGTAATACCCTCATTGCCGACGTTAATTGCAGTCATTCGTGGATTTTCTATGCGTATTCAGTAGAGGTGTGTCAGCAATAGTTTTGCTTTTGCAAGGCCTTAATAAAAGCTTAATTCCGTAAGGTTTGTAAAAAAGCGGTCCTATGTGATTATGTAGCCGCACCTGAGGTAAACAAAGCCCAGCCACCTGTAATACGGGGCAGGTGGTAGTGGGGTCTTTACAAGTGGGGTCGGATAACGCACAGGCGATGAGGTCAAGTAATCGTATGTGAAAGGAAAGCTATTGGAAATGCGAGGTTGTACTTTGAGTGGTTGTGAAATAGTTGCCCTAACCCCCAACCCTAACCCTTGACCGCAGCCCTAAACCCTGACCCTGAAACATCCAACGCGAAAGTTAAAAGGAGAAGACAGGCCGAAAGTCAAGAAACACCACCGACATGGAGCCAAAAAAGTAGATAGGGCAACAAAGAAACCAGGCGTCCAACAGAACACGCATCGCAACCTACAGCAACACCATGCCAACTTAATCACACCAACTCAAACTAATTAAGTAGGCCAACAGTACTGTGTTCATCAGGTGCCGCTACATAATCACATATTAACAAGCTCTTTTCGCTCCCAGGATATCTAATACGTCCTTTATTCCGGCTGAAATCTAAGGGAATGTCATCATTATCTTTACATCGAGTCGTTTCGAGAAGCGGGACTACGCTTCAGCAGCGTAAGTTTGTATGAAATTCCAAAGTATGCGATTGTTTTGGCGGCTCATTAAAACGGACACAAGATCTAATGTCACTGCACTTTGCACTGCCCATCAACTTATCATCTGCACAAAAAATGAACGCGCCGATGGATCCTGAGCTGTAACCTGTCTCGACTAATGGGACAGAAATTTCTCCCTACTGGCCGACCCGCAGACAGTCGACAGACCAGTAGTTCGAACGTCGATTTAGACGATGTCCACCGTGTGTTCCACAGCAGAGCGAAAGCGGGGGCTGTGACTTAGGCATGAATTACTTGTAGTGATAGTAGGCTTGCGCTGCATCTGCCGCACTCCTTCCTCCTCCCCCACCCGTATATAGGTATCATGACGGTGGTCAAGATGACCCGAGGACGCAGGTGGCTGACACGGTGTAAACCCGCACGTAGGCGTACCACCACGCCGCCCCGGTTTGCAACAAACACTTGACGCCAAAAAAAATAGGACAGCATCACGGATGCCCAAGTGGCGCGGCGTGGGCCTGCAACTGGGCCTGCCATCACGCCCCAAATGTTGGCATTTGTTGTGTGGGAGCAATAGCGACAACTCCTACCCGAATCCGATGTAGCCCCCCACTCCCGTGTGGGTCCAGCACATCTACTGCGTGGCCCGTTTTAGAGGCACAGGCAGTCGACAACGCATGGATTTAATTCCGTATTAGTTAGGCTATGGGGGGGGGGAGGGGAGAGTAGACGCCCTTCCACTATTACCGGCGGGGCCGATTCGCCATTCATAGCAAAAAACTCCCATATAAGTGCACTGAATGTTGATGTCCTAGAGGGGGATTGTACGGGCCATTTGGTATGCCGATCAACTTCAAATGGTGCGCGTGCAGCGTGTAAAAGCCGAGCTGTTTTCCAATCAGGTCTCCCTGCTAGTCAAAGAGAAAAAGGGAAAAGTAATTAACTTTGCCGGCCATGTGGAAGGCCCGCTCACCTATCTGGCCTGATTTCAGGAGCGGACACGATCATTTTGTTTACGTTTAAAGCTCTGATCTGGAGCTCTGGCCCATGCCACCCGCTGTAACTTCGGGGCAAAATGAACACCAGCATTACGCCCTACAACTGGGACGGGCTGGCGAGCACAGGATCTGATCACAAGTGACAGACCTCGGATCCTTTCTTAACTAGCAGAGCGTCAGATATACGTACATATAACACCCCCGAAATTTCGGTGTAAGACCACCCAAATACGGCAATAATAATGGTAAAAGCGATTTTAAGAGCTGGTCTCTTTAAAGGAGCAGACGACATCGTTTATACTATGCGACAAGCCAGAAAACGATTTTAACGCCATGTGATTGCTTTCGTGTATTAACTAAATACTAATTCAAGCCCGTTCACTATATGAAGTAGTCAATAGGAAACAGTACGATCTTATAAAGAAAATACTGCTCGCTCATGTTCAGGGAAGGATCTGGTAACTGATCCGGAAACGTAATAGTGCAAGAGCTTTCGGTATGGTTGTCAAGTTTCCATCCGTAAAACTCCTTTATCCTCCTTCATAGGACAAATATCACATACAATACACAAGCAGCTCGCCACGAGTGTAACAGGCCAGACGCAGACAATTGTATGCCATTACTGACAAAGACAAGGGAGACTGGAATGGCCATTTCCGGCTTACTAGCCGTCGTCAGCCAGTCATACCCAACCCCGAAGTGTGGCACACCCGAGGCTCGAACTCGTGACCTGTTAGTTAGAGGTCCACGCCTCTAACCATTGGATCACGAGCCCGTTGCCCTGTCGGTTTCGATCGGGAATATACAAAGGTAGGGGACGCTCACCGATCGTTCTTACGGAACTCACTCGTTCCGTTGTGTTTTACGGGCTCTCTCTCTCGAGCCCACACTTCGGGGTTGGTACGACGGCTAATAAGCCAGAAATGGCCATTCCAGTCTCCCTTTGTCGGTAATAACGTACTGTCTGTATCACGCGCCGCTGTGCGGCTGCCGGCTGGGCTTGAGAGAGAGCCCGTAAGGCACAACGGAACGAGTGAGTTCCGTATAAACGATCGGTGAGCGCCCCCTACCCCCTATCCCCGTCTTCACGGTCATTACCAATCATCAGTACGTCATAGGTCTTAATAATGGGATCGAGTGAGATCCTAACCACAACAGTAGAGTCAAACACCTACTTGACATGTTTACACACCTCACTTCATAAAGCCTATAACGTACTGATGATCGGTAACGACCGTGAAACAGCTGTCTGCGTCTGGCCTGCTGCACTCTCAGCGAGCTGCCTATGTATGATGGAGCATAGTTGCATGTGTCTCCGATAAAGCCTCATTGCGACTTACCCCTGTTATTTTGAAGCCAAAGAAGAAATTGTCATATGAAACAAATCGTTGACTAATTTACTCGCCGGGGCTTGTGCAGCCAGTACTGTAGGACGGGAATGAGCCTCCAGCCAACCGAATAGACTTGACGTGCTATGCCAGCTAGGCGGTCTGTCAGCTGACTCACAACGAGGACTCCTCTTCCTCCTGATGAATACTCTGCGGAGGTTGCGAGGTCAGCCTCTTTTAACGTGAAAATCGATAAAGTTACACTGGCTCTGTCTCTCTCCACCACCCGAAAACATTGTCCCATCTAAGATGGCTCTAACCGGCACTGTCTGTCGTTCACGTATTCTGTCCACGCAAGGCAATCTGCCCAGTAATCTCAACCCTTTGGTGTGCCATAAAACAAGACGGTAGGATGTGGTTATGCAGCCGCACCTGATGGACGTAATGCTGTTAGGGGTTAGAGCTAAGGGTTACGGTTAGGGGTCGGGGAGAGGGATTAGGGCAACTATTTCTCAACCACTCACAGTAAGACCGCTCGGTAACCATCGGGAGATGGCAATCAAAAAAATCCGCCTAACCAAAGCAGCCTGTCTTACGGGACAGGTGGCAATAGGGGTTTTATGGGTGGTGGCTGGTCGGGATGTATGATACTAGCCGACGGAAAGTCTTATTTGAACAGGTGTATGATCGAAGTTGGCCCGCTCTCCGTTCCGTTATTACAAAGTGGGTCGCCAAAGGCAGTATAGTGGTAACGGACGAGTGGAAGGCGTATAATAGTCTTCCTCAGAAGGTTATCTAAATTTTTCTGTTAACCACTCAAAGAACTTCAAGGACCCTACCACCGGACGGCACACCAATGCCATTGAGGCATACTGAAGTAGACTGAAAAGGAAACTCTAAGAGGGGGGGCCCTGTATGTGGTCGAGCTGTGTGGGCTCACATAGACGAAGTACAGTATCGTCTTTGGTTTGGCCTCAATGCCATGTCTTTGACAGATGCCCGGGAACTGTTCCTGTCCCATGTTGTGCAGACTTATCCTATTTAAAAGTGATTTTGTTTTGTAATAAACTGCCATAATTCGCATGTATGCCGTATATTCAAGCATACGTGTGTAACGATGGGGAAGGTTGGGTAACAGCGACCATTGTCCATGTAACCTCCTGCGATGTTCGTTCGGCCAGCCCATGTTAGACCGTCGGGGAAAGTCCAAGTAGTGCGTGAAAGTAGGCCTGCAACCGCTGATATAGCCTGAAGGCGTTTGAGTCCACTGTTAAAGGTATTATTTCTAGGTAACGGATTTTTCGGGTGCCATCTCCCGATTGTTACCGACCGCTCATTCCCAATAGCTTTTCCTTTGCATACAATTACTTGACCTCGTCGCCTGTGCATTCCCCGGCCCCACCCCTAAAAACCCCCTATCACCACCGGTCTCATGTTACAAGCGGATGGGGTTTGTTTACCTCCGATGCGGCTGCATAGCCACATCTGACCAGCAAAACTACTTAGAAAAATTTAACAAGCTTGATTTTCGCCATACGTCTAAGGCTTCCACGAAAGGCTTCTAGAGAGAGAACTCACCGAAGCCCTGTTGCAGGGTCCCGCACGTGGAATTTAAGAAGGTGCTTTCGTTAGTCTCCTTCAGTGAGCTGGAGCCTTGAAGGCGGGCACAGTTCCACCATCGTACCAGACACCAACGCCAGGTCTTCCCATTGCCCCAGATGTACAGTCCGATTACTAGGGCAACTGCCTGCGACAGGGCAAGGCGTAGCAGCTCCACCGCCGGCTGGGGCAGCAGGAGACCGTAGGTACATTTGGTGGTTTCTGCCTCTGTACTCGTCCCATTCGCAAAACGGCAACACTCGGGTCGCTGCGCCATTACCAACTGACTCCTGCGCCAGCCGGCTGCTCCGGAAAAGTGATAGAGGTCACACAGCGACACCAGCAGCATTAGCAGCACATAGGCTCCCACAGCAACGCCCATTTTTGTCAGACGCTGAGACAGCCGACGTGAATTCCGGCCGGTGACAAGGTGCGGAAGCAGGTGACAGCGAAACGGTGGCCTCTTTGCACTGCCCACAGTTCTCAACTGCTTCAGCAGACGCTTCAGTGTGGTAAAGGCCGCCGCAGACAGACTAGTGCCGATGACAAGGCTAGCTAGTTCGGGCAGAAGGACAAAGTGCAATCGTCTGCTGGCATTTCCGAGACAACAGACGCCGGTCAGTTCATTGAAATCAGACACCAGGTGAGGCAGAGGTGAAGCTGGGAGTAGGATACACAGGGCCGGCAGAAGAGGCAGCAGCCATGCGCAGAGATGAAAACCTTTCGCAATGGTCAGGAAGGCCTCAGGTGCCCATCCTCGGGCCGCGGACAAGAACCAGGCCACCGCTAGCAGGATCCACCAAACCTGTCGAGCAGAGACGCTGTAGTACAGCAGAGCTGCTTGTAAGAAACAAGCCAGTCGACCCCATTCCTGCTGAGAGAGGGTCACATTCGGAAGAAGCATACCTCCATTCCCCGGACACACTGGTTGACCTCGACCCAACAGGGGCTGCATCATTAACGCGGCCGACTGCATAAGCAGGCAGATCGCTAGGTAGATCATAATCCGATCGGGATAGATAAACCTCGAGCTGTTTGAGGCGTACGTAGCGAGAGTAAGTAGACCGCAAAAGAGGCCAAGAAGACCACAGATGAGAAGCCAGGAATCGGCGAAGCCTTTAGCCTTGTTGCTGTAGAGAACACTAGTGCAGCACGGCGGCAGACAAGAGGCGTCCTGTCTCGTGAAGCAGGTCGGCTGCAGCTCAGAGGGCTGATTTGCTTTTGCTGCCAGGACCCCATTCTCAGCAGGGTTCACTCTTTGCGGCTGAATGCAGAGCTCATCTCCACTGTCTTCAGGCAGCATAGCACAGTCGAGGTCTGATGGCCAGGGGAAACTGAAGGTTCGCATTACCGGCTCACAGTGTTGCTTTACATGGAGACAGAAGCCCCGACAGGGTCTGAGCGTTATCGATGCTGCTAGATTCGTACTACACATGGGAAAGTAGACTGTGCAGAGGAAGAACTGGAGGTACTGGGAACATCCTATGCTGATTAGTGGTTGGTAGTCGGCAATGCGTCGGGCGGCCTCTCTCTGAGTGTTCAGACCCACCCCATTTGGCATTGACGTGTGGTTGTACGGAAGGCCAGAGCAGACAGGTTCGCTTATAGGGAGGCATGTAGATGTGGCTGATCGTTGTACCTCCTCTGACGCCGAATGTGTCATGACTCCGAGAACTTTGGCCTGGCTGGTCAGAAATTCATCTGGGTTTTGAAGCTCAGGCGGGAGACTTGTGTGGCAAAGTGTGAAACCGAGGATCGCACAAAACTGCAGAACGAGAGCGCGGCGGGGCATGGTCCGTTGAGAACGCCAGAGCCGGTTGGAATGAGAGACAGAGAGAGAGAGAGAGAGAATGATAGGGGACGAAATAGAGCCAGGACCTGTGGTCAGTTTATAGTCTGAACGGTCATCAGTGTGTTGAAGGAGGGGAGCGGGGAGCCATACGACTATGCGGTTAATAGCACGTCGGGTCCATATGGTTTTATTGACGTCAGAGACGCCGCCACGGCAAGGGAAAGGTAGGAGGGGGGAGCTTGGCTCGCTCACCCCACCGAAGCACGTGTGTGGCTTGCGTATGACCACCTGACCCACAATCCACCACCCTGCTCTAGGCTTGCCTTAAGGACAGATGTCATAAATGTACGTCATCGTAAAATAGAGGATCACATGAAGGCAGTGGGGGAAGGCGGAGGTCAGACGGAAGCAGGAAGCGCCGCACGAAAGCGGTCAGATCTGATGGAAATGAACTTCACTCAGCAGTAACTAGGACACGGCAACCGTGCAGGTGACCACTGCTCAGGACATGGGCCTTACCCAGTCTCCACTGTTAAAAAATTATTACCACACATGTCTTTCATGACAGGGCGGCAAAAAAACTCTCATCACTTCTTCTGCACAGGAAAGATCGTCCAGAGAGGGCAAAGGGCAGCTTTCGTCTGCCAAAACCAGTGATAGTTACTCTGTCCTTGGGCATAAGAAGACTTGATCACTGAAGTGAGAACATTATCAACTTGACATTCCGGAGTCACGATCATTATCAAAGGCGATACATCTGGCTGGGAGCGAACTGCGGTAGTAAAGGACGGAATGAGGTGTCTGTAGTGAAATGTAGCGGGCCTCCTTGGTGATTTGGTGGCTGTGTTACCAGCAACACCAGTATTCAAACAGGGAAAATGGTGGACGCGAAGTGTCAACAGGGGATGCCAGGGGGAGCATGGAAACCCTTTCGGTCCGTAGGTGCAGATGGGTAATTGTAGGGTTTCCGGACAGCGAAAGCAGTCTCGAGCAAGTCTGTGGCAATATTTTACTGGCAATTAGGACAGGCTTCGGACTTGCAGGTCAAAGTTCTTCGGACCAGTTAGGAAGTAAGTGCGCGACAGATATTTATGAGATAATGGCAAGTGTCAGCAAAATCACATCAGCCGCCGTGACAGAAATACAAAAGGGACAACATCAAGGCAAGAGAAGTAGTGGGAGGAGAAGACTGAGTGACTGTCAGGGGAGGAGTTAGACCTCGGCTGAGGTGTTTCAGTCCCCTGACAGGTCAAAAATCCTATCAGCAAGGGACAACAGAGTCTCCGGACAGTGACGTTTGGCAGAGGACGGGATAAAATCACGCTCATTTGAACGAAGTAAAGTTCTCGCTATTAAATTAGCATGAAGAGCAGAGTAACACCGAGAAAGATAGAAATCAGTCAGGAGGGATATCAAAAGACAGAAATTAGAAATGTCGCTGGAAGGATCTCTGATTATTTAATAGAAAGTCGTTTGGCAATTGTGCCGAGACTTCCTTCGTGTTTGAGCCGATATTAGGTTGGACACAGGAGCACTCCCTTTTTTCCCGTGTCCAACCCAGTATTTTTAGAGGCACTGTATTCTATTTCAAGCGCGAGTTACGCGAAGTCAGGAAGGACAGAGTGGCATTTTACTGGCTGATATTTTTTTCACCTAAGTATATTACACGGAAGCACAAAAATTGTTACTAGGGCCACGAAGGACTTTACTGAATTTATCCCTCATAGTTAGACCCTTCTCACTAAAAATCCCAAACTTCCTCTTTACATTCGTCGTTTAAGTTCCCATCAACCTTCTCAATCCCTAACCCGGACATTCATAGATGCCTGCATTCTCTCTCTTATTTTTCGTTTTTCCCTGTCATTTTTTGTGTTTTTTTTAAAAAGGTATGTTAATTTTAAAACGAGTCCACCGAATGCTCCCTTCTGCTGCTGGTGTGTCTTATGTCTTCATAGTCGACGCTGTAATACACGACATTTCAAAACGGCCAGGCGATTTGCTGATCGGATTCTGGATGACCGTGTCCATCTTCTTCACTCTGAGCTAAGTGCTACGATGTCCTTCCGCCCCACTACCACCATACCCCTTGTCGTACGTCGGCACATAAGCATTCTGTATTGTCATTCCTGGCACGCTATCTTATGTGTGAAGGGACTGGATTACAGAAACTGTGACTTGACCTGTACGCGAAATAGATGTTCATTTTTATGCACACCTTTTTGACTCTTGCTTTCTTTGTTAATGTATCTTCTGTCCTCAGTGATCTGAACTCTTTTTTCCCGAAAATTTTGAAGTGGTACTTTTTATGTCAAACGTATTCCTGTCTTCATTCCTCTCAGGTATGCGGCTTTATTGGCTTTACTGCTGTTGGTGATGTAGTTCGTGTGTGGACTGTATTTCTTGAAGAGGAGAGTGTGGTTTTCTTCGTCCCTGTTACTAAATTAATCTTAGTGCCGACGCTACGTGAGATCGAGGACTTCCACGACAGCGACTTGAATGATACGCCGCAGCTCTCTCTCCTCTTGGCTTCGACACTGGTATGCGACTGCAGGCTTTTAATTCCTTCCAATTTGGATTTCATTTAGTCATTAAAATTCAGCCGGTGCTCAGCCATAGCAAGCAACACAGTTTTTACCCTGCCTGATGTTAGATTACTTACGGTCCTTTTCGCGGTAGCATTTTGAGCTTAACCATGAATATGACATGAAGGCGATCGACACCACATACATTCTTAGTCACGAGCACGTCATGTTGGTCAGGTCTCCGGACGAGGGCACAATCCGGCACATTTCGGTGACGCCAGCAAGGGACGGGAAAAGGTGTTGGTCAGGAGAAGACTGTGTTCCACGCAGATCTACAGGAGGAAAGGGCCATTGCTGTTGCATGGTCTCATGGTGACCGGCAGCATGGTCTGTGCTGACGCGGACATTGACGTCGCCAGGGCCAACCAGTTTGTCAGCCTTCGACACAGTACGAAGGGGAGGGGGGGAGGCGTGCAGGTCTTCGCAGAACTTGTTCTTCACGTCGCCGGATTTTGTCATGGAGAGAGCTTGGGCGTTGACAATGGTGACGAATTTGTTCCCGCGGAGTAGCAGCGTCATGGTCATGAGACGGTCGTTGATGCTTTATGGCAAAGAGGATAGCCGTCTTCCACAATGTTCCTGATGACGAAATCGATTCCGGCATCTCCTCGCTCTGTCCCTGGACGTCTGCATCAAAATAGCACGTAGCCGACGCCCATCTCCTCCAGTTGGCCCTGCTCAGAGAAGTGGTCTCATTGACAGCCTTAAGGTTCACTTTGAAACAGACTATTTCGCGGCCAAACACAACGAGCCTTTTTTTCGAACAGCTTGCCATCGGACTGTCTAAAAGGAAATGAATATTCTAAGTTGCCAGAGTAAGCAGTATCATTGTGGCAGCTTTTGGGGAGGCGCGCGGATGGAGACAGCGTTCATTGATTTGTGTAGTTCTTTTTTACTGCGTTTCTTCGTCCATAGCCACGTTCAGCTTGTCCCCGGCGTGTATTGCGAGCAGACTTAAGGGCACCTTTTCTAGCTTAATTACCCACGAGGGAGTTAGCAGAGATACTCATAAATGGGGCTGCTTAGTCATCCTAGACGACTGCCGAATTTAACTATGGTTCAGGACCTTTGATGGAAAGACGACCCGAGTAAGTCTGGACTGCTTGTCGCAGTCTACGCAGGATGTTTTTGCTAAGAAATGGGGAGTGGGTTTGGGGATTAGTTCGGGAACTGCTGGGTTTGAGGACAAATACACGCCGGTCACCCACGGTCGGTCATCCCAAGATGGTTATCGAGGTGTGGTCGCCATGCTGAGCACGGTTTCTTGGACCCTCCAGACGAGGGCTGAATTTCCGTACGGAGGAAAGTAGAAGTATTTCCCAGATCAATCGATGTGTTTGGCGGAGACTGTCAATGTACTGCTCATAGGTACTTCTTGCCCCCTAGATTCGTGCCTGCACTACCAGGACCCCGTTGGCGTCGCCAATGCTACATCTTCGTGCATAGCAATTGCCGGCAAAAAAATACTCATCAGTGTAAGGTTGTACAGAGTTCATACAAACGTACCGACGACCCTGGAGTGGCCGTACGACTGCAAACGGTGTCCTCTTCCACGCCACCCGGTACACCCCGAATAACATCCACGACTGACAAAATCCAA